AAGAATGACAAGGCCAAAATTCTCTAAACAGAATGGTAAATAGTAACACCCTATTTTTTTTATTTTTTATTTTTCTTGGCCTGCGTTTTCTTTTGTTTCACAGTCTACCAAATACTCCGTATAGAAAAATGGGATAAAAATGACACAGACAGCGGACAGATTTGGGTAACACACTGACGAAAACAAGCAAAACATCAACCTCTTTTTTAATTCACATGTTATAGAGTAGAGAGGACCTTCCATTTTTTTTTTTTTTAACATAAACTATTGCTTCAAATTCCGTCAACAATCCCATTTCACCCTATATTTTTCCGTCACTCTTATTTTTCACGCAAAGCAATTGTTTCTGTACACTCATTAGATTTTCTTTCCTTCAAAACTGCACAGCTTGCAGTGGCCGCAGACGACCCAGCCATGGCCGACAACATCAATCACAGAAAGGCTAGAAACCCTCCGCCGCCGAGAAACCTCGAAGCAGATCTGAATTCCATGGTTTCCAAGAAGAAGAACTTCACATCGGCAACGTTCAGGGGCCTCGGCTGCGCCGCCTCCTCCCATGTCTCTGTACCTGCGGCTATAAGAACCTCCGCCACTTGGGAGCCCAAGAGAAAATCGAGAACGAAAAGGCTTAGCACTAGGAAAATCAACGATAAGCTACCTGTTGATGGCAATAACCCAACTTCACAGTCTTCCCTTTCTTTGGCGTGCTCGTCCTCGTCTGATGTTTGGTGCGGCCCAGCCGCGCTCAATGATGTCGATTGTGTCGTCTCAACTAGGCCTTCCAGGCCCAAGCTTAACAGGATTCTTCTTGCTCAGAGGGAGGTAATTACCATTTCTTTCTTCACCAATTGAACAATTTCGACTCCGTGTTGCTTTCTTTTACTGGTTTATTATTGTATGTTTGATTGAAATCCTTGTAGGTTTGTCTAATCCTTGGGCCAAAGTAGTCCGGCCAGCTTCTTTGTTATCTCGTTTTTAATTTTTATTTTTATTTTACTGTTTTTTTATTCGCAAAATTGCTTAGCTAAACTACAGTTCTGGATAAAGTATTCATTGACTACATTGTCTCATGTCATTTTTCTTGGTTCCCATGGTTTGATGATGGATGTGCTCGTTTAGAATTATATCCAGCAGATCGTTGGTGTATATGCGTGTTGATGTCACTAGTTAAAATATTATCATGTGCATTAGGCTGTTAAGTGCATAGTCATAGCTTTTGATGTGGAGTATTGACTATTGATTCCACTTTGTTATTTCACAGTTATACACTAGCTTCAATCCGTTTATCTGTCAGGGTTCATACACCGTGAGGAGAATGGTGATTCCTGAAGACAACCCTTTTGTTGAAACTGATGCTGGTTTGGGACTGGCTCGCATTCGTACTGATGTCACAGGTTCTAGATATCGTCGCCATGTCAGCAGGCATGGTCTCCGTGAAGGACTTGATGAGGTCAGCATCATATTTAGCTTTTGCTGGCTGTTACAAGAGGGTCATAGTAGATTGTCCCTTAGATTAGAGGATTCATTATGTTGGATTTGTAAGCAACACGAAATCAGCACATTTGATTGACATACTATAGAACATGGGTAAGCTGTTGTCAAGTTTGTGTATTTTTTTAATCAGGCTCTTGGATTACATGTCTTGAAATGGGAACTGAATCTGCATTGGCCTATTACTATTTTAAAGTTTGTAACAGGGTTGCTTCATCAATTACGTGCTGGCCATCTCAATTTGAGTTACTGGTTTCTCATTGATCATTTGATTATGAGCGTTCATCCGTTAGGTATCTAAAAACTTGCTTCAGTGTGAACTTTTCTAGGAAACACTATTTCATGTGATCTCATTATATTGGAGGCAGCCGACTATAAGATACTTGATAGAATCTTAATAGCTGTGTGCCGAATAGTTACACTGTCATGTTTGTAACTATCAAATGTAATTAAATTGAAGTGCTTTGTGCAGAAAGCAAACACAAATGCTGATCTCTCTCATAATATATGTGACTGATATCTTTTTCTATTACACAGGCTTAGTACCTTGCAGTTTGTGAAGTTAGTCTTGGTTGAAATATTTTGCTTGCTTAGACCTTCACAATAGTTTGCAAAGAAAATTGAGGTAGGTGGAATTTGAACGTTAATAGCATCGCAATCCCTTCAGATTGGTAGCCTTTTGACCAAAGTTTGTATCCGATAGAGGTTTTTGTGGAAAATGCACACAATTGACTTTTCTTCCTCATATTCTGTTAATCTACTTCTTCACTTACCTGTAGGTCATAAACCGGAATTCAACTAAAGGATTGATGGAAAAGATAATACATGTTTAGAAAACTACTCAGAAAGGCAAAAACATCTTGATCCCAGTGTATTAGCTTTAATTGTATCATGATTGGCTGGTTTCAGATTGTAATGCTCCAAAGCAACATGCTGATGGGAGGGAGACCAAACAGGCTCGATAGATACAGTGATCTGAGGCTTGATGTTGACAACATGTCGTACGAGGTAAAATCCAAGTGGTTGAACGATTTTGCTATATCCGGTGTTTGCATTGAAATCTTTGACAGACACTTTACTTTAATCAATAAACAGGAATTGCTGGAACTTGGTGACCAAATTGGATATGTGAGCACTGGACTGAGAGAGGATGAGATAACTCATTGTCTGAGGAGGATTAAACTCGCATCATTTGAGAATTTGTCGACACATTTTACGTCTGAAAGTGAGAGGAAATGCAGTATATGCCAGGTTTGGCTCATTTCTCCTGGACTCTTGCATCTTCCTGTATGTTTTTACTGCTCATTTTGATTTGCTATTAATTTGTATTTCTTGTTGCAGGAGGAATATGAAGAAAATGATGAGGCAGGGACTCTGAACTGTGGACACTCATTTCATGTGTGTTGCATAAAGCAGTGGCTTGAGCAGAAAAACACTTGCCCTATCTGTAAAACAGCAGCCTCATCCCAAACATAAAGCTGAATAGGTTGGGTGGCTCATAAAATGTTACTCACGTTTTTATGTATATTTCTGTACAGATTTCTGCATCTTTGAAAGAGAAATCATTCTTTGATGTGACGATTTGGTTTGTAACGGCTTGAAAACGTGCCAGTTTTCGTTAGCAACTCTGATTTTGATTGGTTTGTGAAAATAAAAAATATTCTGGCGAGCACTCGCGTCAAAGATCTGCTCGGGCTTGAGTTTGACCGAGCTCGAGCCAATCTCGAGCAACTCGAGTCCACAATTGAGCTGGGCTCGAGGCTGTTTTTTGTAGAGTCGAGCACTTGTTGAGCCGCTCGATATATATTAGAATTACCTAAATATCCCTTATTGCATGTAGTCGTATAGGTGCTGTATTGGTCCGTTTGGTCCTTTTGTAATATTGCATCCCAAGCCACGATTAAGTTCCAAACTTTCATTCCTCTCATTCCCCAACCAAAAAAAAAAAAGAAAAACCTTTGTTATCTTGAAAAGTTGAAATCCTGCAGTCCACGTCTCATTTTGTTACCGTCAAATGAAATTATCTTCATCTCCAGAGCTTAGTTCGTTCCATGTCCGGTCACTAAAAGCAACTCGCAGTTGGCAAGAACGTGTCAGACTCACGATCTAAGCTTCCAAGATGTAAGTTCCCACATATCATGAAACATTCGATTCATTAATTGGATTTGATAGGGCGTGTTTGTTAGTCCGGACAGGACCGGATTGCGCCTCCAATCTACCATTTATCTGGCTTTTGTTTTTCACAATTTCAGCCCGCCAGATAATATACGTCCCGCGATGCACAGTGGAAATATCGTGGGAAAGCGGGATTATTTTGATATGGGCTTTGGGGTTAAGATAATATTTGTTTGTACAATAGAAAAATAAAAAATTTACAAATATGTCCTTAAAAGTAAAGAATGTTGACGATGTCAATGCAAAATTTATTTCTTTTGCCATTTACCTAAAATCAGAAATCCATTATTCTTTGACATTGGCGGCAACACTAGGGATGCTCGCCACTGCGGCTGCCGACGCAAGCTGCGGGCTAGTGCATAGCGAACTTTGTAGAAGGAGCGGGATGGAAATTGGGGAGGGCAAATACAGCCGACTTCGAGGCATCAGGGTCTTATGATTCGAGGCTAGGTTAGACCTCGGGGCGAGGTCAAGTTGGACCTCAGAACGAGGTTAGGTTAGACCTCAAGATGAGGTCAGATTTCGATCTCGGGTAAGTCACAACAGTCAAGTCAAGAGGTTGAGATTATGGCCTAAAGACCTAAGGGCTAACATTAAAGGGGAAGTAATCCTAGTAGGAAGTAAAGAATCACTTGCTCAAGGACTCTTGTTTAGATAGAGACATGGTGGTAAGTTAGGAAGTAAGATCTGGTTGGATATCTTCCAGGACTCTTGGATACCACGATATCTACCCTTAATAAGGGTGACAGGTTCTTCTTCATCTATTCATCTCATTCTACCCTTTTATTACATAATTCTCATATACAATTATTGTGCGAGTTCTGACTTGAGTGTCGGAGGTTTTTCAGTCGGAGCCCCCTCTCGACGTATTGCAAGTCACCAGAGCTCAAAGACGAAGACCGTTTGAGGCGTAGGTGTTCAACCCGGTTCGTGATAAAAAGTAACGCAATAAATTGGTGTCGTATGTGGGAATAGTCAGTCTTTTACAGGCTATAAGGAACTAGCATTTTTCTCACAAGTTTCACCAAAAGCACAGTCATGCCGAGTGATAACCCCAAGAAGAACCTCGAGAAAGACATGGAGGGGGCGTGGCCAAAGAGGTCGTTCGAATCCGACCCTCCCCGGGCTGGCCGTAATCCTCCTACCCACCCATCACGCCCCAAAAGACATTCCGTGCCCCTAGGTTAGCTTTAACTCCATTGTCATATGCGCCGGAAGAATCAATGGGCAAGAAATAAGCGCTCGAGGACCAACAGAAAAAAGAAGACCAGAGAATAGTGGTCCGTGCAGTGGCGGAGGACGAGCAACACCAAATCGAGCTGTTGGCGAACATCCCTAAAGAGCAGGTCGGGGAGAAGCAGATTGTCCTCAGTATGCAAGAGGATCCCCGAAAGGAGTCTTTAAGCTCACCCGAAAGGAGTTAAGTAGGATCATAGCAGAAGCGGTGGCTCGAGTTCATGAGCCTAGGCAACTAGAACTCGTTATGCTACAACACTTAAACCTTATTTTTTGCTAATGAAATTCTCCTTCTTTCTATCCTTCTCTCCTTCCCTCCCTCTCTCTCTCTCTCTCTCTCTCTCTCTCTGTAATATGTTATCAGTTGTCGACTTATCCGCCTTGTTATTTTTTTGCTGCTAGGTTTTCTTTTCGTCTCAATCTTTGAGACACAAACTCCTATTGTCTTTTCCTTTCTCTCTTTAATTTGTTTTTTATTTCTAAGATCTAGTTCTTGATCTGTCCGATTTACGCATTTTTCCTTTCGATAAGTTCGGTTTTTGAGTTTTTCACACTCGATCTGTCCATGGCTGTTGTAAATCTCACTGATGACCTAGTGTCGTCCTACTATCTACATGCTAGCGACAATTTGGGTTCTCTAATCATCATTGAGTTGTTCAATGGTGAAATTTCATTTCATGGTCCCGTGTTTTTTAGATGGCATTTACAATCATGAACAAGAGTGGATTCATTGACGGTACATTAGCTGCTTTGTCCTCATTTGGTAACCCTAAACTCTATTTTCCTAAGTAAGTGATACTAATTTGGTTTCTCTTGTTACTGAACTAAAGTTACAAAGAGATTCGTCAATTATTACTGTTTTTCACTTCTACAAAGGAGGTCTAGGATGAGATAAAAACTAGATATGCTATGAGCAGTGGTCCTACGGTGTTTCAACTTGAAAAATCTTCGCATAGACTAGGGTTCTTTGTCCATTAGTTAGCACTACAATACTTTCAAGGAACTTTGGGATGAATATATTACATATAGACCTGTAATTAAATGTAAATGTGGTGTTTGCGAACTGTAATTGTAATATCTTTGAATCTACTATTGCATCTCAACAACTTGACTATGTTATGAAGCTTAATATCTTTGTAATTCGTCACATGTTGATCATTGATAATGGTAAGCAACTTAATTGAAATAAGTTTAAAAAATTTTGTGATTTTGTACATATAGACCTAAGGTTATCCTCTGTATAACATCATCAAACAAATGGTTTAACCGAATGGATATACCAAGATTTGCTAAAGGAATTGGAAAAGAGGTTAAAAGACTATAAAATTGCATGGGTGGATGAGTTATACAATGTGGTGTGGGCGTATAGATCCTTCCCCGAGAAGGGAATTAGTAAAACCTCGTATAGATTGACATATGGCAGAAGTCGTTACACCCGTTGAGATTGGCATGCCCTGCCTCAGGGTACAACAATATAATCTCGAAACTAACTAGCTTGAACAGAGGCTATGCCTCGATTTGCTGGAGGAAAGAAAGGAATAAGCCTCTACGTATGTTGAAACGTAGGGAGATGACAAAGTACTTTAACAAGCGTATTAAACCAAGGGCATTTCCTTCGAGCGACCTTGTGTTGAAAAACACAGATGTTAGGAAAAACAATGCTAGTGTGGGCAAGTTAGAGCCCAAGTGGGATGGACCGTTGCGGGATAAAGAAGCACTGGATCATGGTGCTTAAAATCTTGAAGAACTGAACGACAAGGTGATTTCCAGAACGTGGAAAGATGTATAACAAGTAATGAGCGTAGTTGACTGCTTTGTTTTTAATTCATGTGTTGTGTGGAGAGTGTTAGAAAAGAGGGTGGTGTTTTTAATTCGGTTGTTTGTCGCATAGTTTATTACATAAATATTTTGTATTTTATCAATTATCTTCGACTGTCTATCGCGTAAGCAATTCGCAATTGCTCAATTATATTCGTTTGTCTGTTGCGTAGTTTATCGCATACCGAATTCACACTTGCTCAATTGTCTTCGCTTGTATGTTGCATAGTTTATCGGATAAGTAATTCGCACTTGGTTAATTATCTTTGTCTGTCTGTCGCATAGTATATTGCATAAGATGTTTCGCACTGTATCAATTATCTTCCCATGTCTGTCGCCTTGTTTATCACATACTTTATTTCGCACTTTATCAATTATCTTCGTCTGTCCGTAGCATAGTTTATAGCATAATATGTTTTGCACTTTATCATTTTTCATCGCCTATCTGTCATATTGTTTATCACATAATTTGTTTTGCACTTTATCAGTTATCTTCGTCTGTTGGTCGCATGTCGTATTGCATAATTATTTTGCATTTTATCGATTATCTTAATATGTCTGTCGCGTAGTTTGTCGCATAAATATTTCGCATTTTATTAATTATGTTCTCCTTCCTTTCGCATAATTGTCGCATAAATATGTCGCACTTTATCAATTATATTCGTCTGTCTGTCGCATTGTTTCACATAATCTGTTTTGCACTTTTTCAATTATCTTCGTTTGTCTGTCGCATAATTTATCGCATAATCAGTTTCGTACTTTATCATTTTTCTACGTCTGTCTGTCCGTCGCATTGTGTATTGCATAATTTGTTTCACACTTTATAAATTATCTTCGTCTGTTTGGCGCATATCGTATTACATAATTTTTCACACTATCGATTCTGTCATGTAGTTTATCTCATATATATTTCGCACTTTATCAATTATTTTTATTTGTTTGTCGCACATTGTATCACATAATTTTTTTCGACTTTATCGATTATCTTCGTCTTTCTCTATCGCGTAGTTTATCGCATAATTTATCAACTATTTTTTTTATCGAATAATTTATTTTTCACTTATACTTTATCAAAACAGCCTCCTTGTATAGTTACAAGGGTAAGATCTGCGTACAACTGACCCTCCAGACCCCAATTTGTTGGGAATATTGTTGTTGATATACTTTATCAATTATCTTCTCATGTCTGTCAAATTTATCGCATAATTTGTTTAACACTTTATGGTATGAAAAAGTTAATTTATTATTTGGCATTTTGAAAACTCATTTGATCTAGTTATTAAAAATAAAATGATATATAGATTTATCTTCTTGGATGGGATGTATTGACTTCTACACTTTTGTCTCCTAATTTCAGAGATTCTTCCATCCGAAAACATGACCGCGCCAGAAAAGAGCTACGTCGCCGAGCCCTCGTCAGACATCAAAAGCCCAAGCGAACCCACAGGCTCCGGCTCCTCACCGCGTAAACGGTTGAAAACAAAGGATGAATCGAGGACTGCCAACTTAAACGATAAGGGGATTTTCGTTCTAGAAGCCGATGTAGCTGAAGATAAAGGTTCTAGGCCAACTATGGAGGACGCCTGGGTGGTGCTTCACGACGCCGCCTTGGAATCTGCCGGAGATTTGAGGTTTTTGCTCTTCACTCTCCATTCCTTGCATTTATTGCGTTTTTTGGTTTCCCCAAATTTCTTAGATTTGGCTATTGCTTTTTCGTTGACGAATTTTGTGTTGCAGAAATGCTTCATCATATTTTCTCTTAGTGTCTACACAATTCGCATGCACATGGCCTGGTTTCGGTCTTCTTCCAAATCTTTGAATTCTTTCTTTCTTCTTCCATTTTCTTTGCCTTATTTTTATATTTAAATTCTCTATGTTCTTTATACCATTTTCTCATGAGAGAAAACAAAAAATATTATCCCTTGTAGATGTGCGCATTTTGCAATTTATGATGGACATGGAGGCCGATTAGCTGCAGAGTATGCACAGAAGCATTTGCACAAGAACGTGCTTTCAGCAGGCTTACCACGTGAGTTGGTCTGTTTGTCTATGCATTTATTGTATTTTTTGAACTTGAGTGTTTTTAAGCTGTAAAATCTTCTGTTAATCCGTAACTTCAGACTTTGAGATATTTCGTATTAATGAGTGATATGGTTTTCTGATGGAAATTTCAGTTGGATGTGAAGTGTGCAAAGAAGGCTATACTCGCTGGTATGTCCATATTATAACTTATTTTTGCTGAATTTATCTTAAGAACGAGTATTAGTTTTGAATTTCATTCTCTCAACAATTTTCATGATGTATATTTGATTTAGACTTTATTTATTTTACCTGAATAGGATTTCAAAGTGTGGATGAGGCCCTCCTTCAGGAAAGTGCTGCAGGTTCTTCGACAGCTCTTTCTTAGTTTCATTTTTTCTCCTTTTTCTCTTGAAGTTAATTGCATGCTTAAATTATTATGGTAGAAAAAGAATGCATTGTTATGGAGCTTATACTTTTTCTTGGCGGATTGGTTTGATATATGTTCAGGATTAAACTTCCATGGTCTTTTTCTAGGCTAACTGGTATGATATGTTGTTCAGATCTTCGGTGATGTGTATTGAACATTTATGAAGTTAGGTGGTTCTTAGATCTCGTGCTATGTTTTCTCTTTGATATAGTATATATATTTTTCCCTGAACTACCCTTGATTATTTACCTCAATTGCAGTGTTGCATGCTTAATGCTAAATGTTGTGCTTCAAATTGGAATTCTAGTGATTTTACTATTTTTATATGACATTACTCCTATGTTATTATTCCTTTTTTAACTCATATAAGAGCTTATGGTGGGTCTCCTTGTCCATCCTTCTTTTTGCATCTACATATGATAAAAAGCTCCTTGGTGATGAGATTGTGACCATCATTAAGCTCCCATTTCTGCATATGTTTGATGATTACATATATATATGTGTGTGTGTGTATTGAAACCTAGTTATGTGCTTTATAATTAACTCTTATCTGTTTAACTTCGGTTTCTTGTGGTAGGGGGATGGCAAGATGGTGCCACAGCTGTATGTGTATGGGTGTTGGGGCAAACAGTAAGTTAGCATCATGTAATGTGCCATATAATATATGTAGAATGGAAGAATTCATTCATGAGTTATGGTTTTAGTTTATCTGTATTCTGCTATTAATTTTGGTCAAATAGAGTCCAGAGCAATCCCCAAGCATCATGTACCTTGTCATATCAGCATTTCTTAACGCATGTTATTGGATTCTTCTGTGTAAGTATACAACCTGGTAGAGGGATCGATACATAATATGCCAGACGACAAGTTATATCAAAATGTCTAGTCAAGCTGAAGCCTGTACATGACGGAGTTCAAGCAGTCATGGGCCAGCAAGTCTCCCAGTTCAGTGATAGGAACATGGGCCATAAGGGTACATCCATCCTGTTAGATATTGGACACCTGCAAAGGAGCCGAAAGCAAATAAAGATGTGTTTTTAGACATCTCAAAGGTGCAGAAGCTTCATAGAATGCATCCAACTTTGCCCCATTGTTCCCACTCCTTGGAGCAGTTAATACATTACTTCCTTGGAGATTATAAATTACTTGGTTATATTGATTAAAAAAAAAAAAGTAATGCTGGTTGGCAAGTGTGCTACTCAAACCTTGGAGTGAGCCGGTATTACTTCTTCGGAGACAACATTATGGCATCACTTAGTGAAATTATGTCTTATTTTCCCCGTCTGTTTGGTGCTAATTGAAAGCCTATCCCGTACTAATTTTCTAAATGCTGTTCTTTCTTTTCCCAATGCATTTGATTCGCATGTCTGCTCACTGCCATCTCCAAGCTCATGACTGCCTCGAGGACACCCCCTGTATCATGGGTGGTCTTTAAAATTATCCGTGCTATCTATCCCTCATTTCTGATATAAATATCCTGTTTTATGTTGATGTAAGAATCTTCAAAAGGGTTAACAAAATTTTGAAATGTTTTGTTATCATTATTATTTACCCTACAGAATTGTTTATTAAAAAAAAAAAATAAAAATTCTAGTGGTCCATGAGTTTTGGGTGCAAAAAAATTTATGTCGGTTGTGTGGTTCTAGGATGGCTTGGTGAATAAACCTTCACTACAGCATAAGCAATGGGGAAACATGTATAAATTATCTGGCCAATAATTATAGTTATTTATTTATTTATTTTTACTTCATTTTGTGGTTCGTCTGTAGTGAGTCTTACATGAAATTATATCATTATATTTGGGTTTCGCCCTATTATTGAGTTTTAAATGTACCTAGTTTGTTTCTTGCAATCTACTCTTAAGTACAACAATATGGTATTGAACACCTATCGGTGTTATGAACTAATCTTAGTTATTTCTCATTGTATTTGCTTGCATTCCCTATGTCATACCAAGTTTGGCGTATTCTTATATTTCTTCTATATCACAATGTTTTGCATTTTTCATAAGAAATAAGAAAACTCTAATTTGCACCACTTATTGGCATTTCATTAATTAATATCTACCTATAGAGTATAGAAGTGTATTAACTTATATATTTAGTGACTTGGCATTACAGAAAAAAAAAAAAAAAAAAAAAGGGTAACCAGCCACATTAACAACACCATAATATAAGACCACATATGTAGGACTTTTATCGGTTGACTCGAAAGTGATTAATCTGAATTGCTTTGTATAAAACTACCGCGCATGGGTTTGAATGTATTTGTCGAGTTATGTCTATGAAGCTTGTCTGCACATATATTTAATAGAATGGTATTACAACAGTTGTCACCTCTCGAGCAGGTTAAGTGCATCATTCCTTTAAGTAATCCTAGTGGATTTTCCTTGGTGAATTTGTAGTAACTCCATTTTAATCTGATCGTAGGTGTTTGTTGCTAATATTGGCGATGCAAAGGCAGTGGTAGCCAGGTCATATGCAGCTGATGGTTCACATTGTGATTCGAGCGGATCAAATTCATTGAAGGCCATTGTTTTGACAAGGGAACACAAAGCCATATATCCACAAGAACGAGCACGCATTCAGAAGGTTGTCTTGTTTGTTGCAATGAACTTTTGCATTGGTAGTTGTATGTTTTACTGACACCTGAAAGTGTTGATGCCTATCCTCTATGTTTATGATTAAAGGCCTCGGTGACATTAGAACAGTTTCACAAAGTTCTTATTAGATATATTGTTGTTTAGATCAATTAATTATTTTAGATAATTAATTATTCTCAATAAAATATTATGCTTCTGGTTATCAAATTTGGACTGCAAAGATGACTTCGGGCTATCGTCTTGAAATATTTATGCTCTTTTGGCTCAGGGCATGAGGGAAAGATGTCAATTAGGTTATTAGTTTCTATTTTAATAATATTTAGATGACCAATATTCTTGTCATCTAGTAGTTTACTATGTGATTACTTTGTGGAACAAAAGCTGGAAATTATAATGATCATTCCTTTGTTATGTGGATCTCGGATGATTTTAGAATTGGCTGTAAAGATTCTGCCCCTGTACTGCATAGATGATGTTATAAACCTTGAAGAATTAATCGCACAAATATATTACTGGAGTTTAATCCAAAATAGATAGGATAGTTCTGTTTTGTTAGTTATGGTTCATTAAAGGAACTTCCAAGACATTTAAAGATTTTTTCTATTTAGTCCTCTTAATGCGAGCAGCAGTGTAATGATTTCGTAAAGTTATTTAGATATGACTTATGATAACCTAGTTATCTTATGAACAAAAACAGAAAATTCAATTCCATTCGTAATGAATAAGTTTATCAAGGGTCTCACGGGGACCAGGGCTTAATTCCTGGCGTTTAAAGAGGAAGCATAGATCTACCAAAAGCAGACCACGTATTCTGCAATTTATTTATGGCGTATATTTGTAATACCACTGGACAGGATTATGGAATGTGAATTTATCAGTTAATGTATCCAGTTGTCCTTTTTAGTAAGTAATTTGCTATCCAGTTATACATCTGATCCTAGAGATATAAGCTTTTTGATCCCGGGGGTTAAAGGAAAAAGAAGAAAGCCTTCTTTGTTTAGCAGTGTATATATCTTATGCTGTTTATGAAGAATGAGTACTTTCTCAATGTGGTTAGTTGTGAGCTTGTTCCTGGATCTGCAGAAGTGGATCCGTTTGTTGAAACAATGCCAATTAGCTTTTCGAATCAGTCTGTTTAAATGGCTGTTACTGGTTTCGGAACATGTATGTGCATGTATAATGTAATTGTTCAGAGCGTTCATAGATTAACAATTTTATAGGGAGAAAAAGGTAATCCACTAGTTAGAATCACTAATATACAGTTTGTTCTTCTGTAGGATTGTGCTATTTGATAATGTATTTCACATCTGCCTATGCTGTTTTCTGTTCTTACTCGTCTACCTGGATGAATGTATATTTTGCTTAATATTTTAAATTCCATAGGCTGGTGGATCTGTCAGTTCGAATGGACGCTTGCAGGGACGACTTGAGGTTTCTAGAGCATTTGGAGATCGGCAATTTAAGAAGGTTCTACTTTGGTTCCCCTATTTCCAGCATTCATTTGATGTCATTCATTTTGATGCTCTCATTTCTAGGAAACTTGAATTTCTAACATTTTAGGACACTAATCTAGCTGTAGGTTATTATTTTGCGAGTAAAATGTTATAGCACATCGTACTTATGGGTTCCTCAACATGCTTAGGGCTTTAAGATAGATTATTTTAGTATTTTCCATACACATCATGCTGTTATTTTCTGAAATTGCAAAGTGAATTTCAGGTGGGTGTTATTGCAACTCCTGATGTTCATTCATTTGACCTTACTGAGAGAGATCAGTTTATAATTCTTGCCTGTGATGGCTTGTGGGGGGTATATCTTCTGTTTATTGCTTCACAATTTAGTCTTTTGAAAGATCTCTATTTTCTTCGCTCCGTTTTACTAAAGTTCGATACGGATATCCTTCGAAATTTAGGTGTTTGGACCAAGTGATGCGGTTGACTTTGTTCAAAAGCTGTTGAAGGTTCGTTTACATTTTTTGCTCTCTGGGTCCTATGTTTCTGACTTACTTTCTGCTAAGACTCATCCTCC